TTTTTTTTTTTTTTTTAGTGGAGACACTGAACTGTGTTTTCTTCAGAACAAAGAAACTCTTTCTTTGCATCACACTTGGAGCAAAAACAAGATGCAGCRTTAGTACTTTGCTAGGTCTGGGAGAATTAATAGCATACATGTAATCARTGCAGTAAAACAAAGAAAGTGCTAGAATAAAAATGAATGTGCATGGAAACACTAATACCCACAAACAGGACAGGTGAAAATAAAAGTGTTTAAGATTTGTTATGTTCATCTGGAGAAAGTAATGTAGAACTTCATTATATTGGGAAGTCAGGTGATGCATTGGGGTGTTAGTTGAACTAATACTATTAGCGGTGCGGGAGCGGTGCGGTGTATTACTAATACACATGAAATCTACTATTTTTAATTTGTCTGCTCTAATACCACAATCTCATAGAAAAAGACAGGGGGGTTTTGTAAAATTTAGAGCACAAGGAACAATACAACCCCTGTCCTTCTGTAGCAGAGACAGGTCTGCAACGCTGTGGACATTTATGTTGATTTTAGTTACTAGAACTGTTGTTTCAGATAGTTTCRGGAGCAGTTTATCACTAATGTATTGACATGAAGTATTACACCTGTTCCAAAAAGGTGGTTTTATTCAGGTGTTTCTTCAAAATAACAACAAAGTGTAAGGTTTCATTTACAGTAAAACAGGAGGAGAATGTGAGAGCTGTTGCTGTTTTCCCCGCTGTTGATAGACACCATGTCCATGGGTGAGAAGGTCAAGATGTGGTTTGGTGGCCACACTAGAAAAGCAAAAGATTCTTTAATTTTTCACATTGCTATGGAAACAAGGAAGACATGAGCTCCACCTACCTGAAAGGAAACTGCACACACATGAAATCATGCAATATAACTTTCATAGAAAAGCATTATTCATTTAGTATAAGAGAAGAAGTGTCATAAGGTGAGGGTATTAAATTTAGAGCTACACTCACTTGACACACTTTTTGGTCCAAAAGAACTTAGAACTTGAGCATGCACCTGCCATCTCAGTGATGAAAAGAGTGCTGAGGATACTTTGTAATTCAGGTTCTAGGAAAAAAATGAGCAAAAGAGAACAGACCTTTTATCTCATCATCTAGGTTATAAGATATCATAACTGTGTTATAACACCAACTTCACACATGTGTATTTACTTAAACAGAGCAAAACTTCTCTTATTCAATATTGATAGGCYTATTGGCAACTTGTTAAACCTAACAGGTATGAAGGGCCTGTGACTCATCAGGAAAAATTCATCTGAGGCATCCTGTACCTGTTGAGATCCTTCTGTATTTATCTGAACAACAACAAAAAAAAAAATCTGAATTTTTTTTTAAAAAGTCCTTTAAGTGCTACTTTGAGGCATCATGACTGATTCTTCTGAGCTAATAGTTCAGACAGTAAAACAAAAAGCAAAAGAAGAACAGTAATATTTTATCATTACCATCTCTGGTAAGAGATTTTTGAAATACTGAGGTAAACTTAACCACTAAAGACAAAAAAACAAGTTCCTTTTATGTCATCAATGTTTAACTACATGCCAGCTGAAAAAAAATATRTGTTCAGTTGGAAAAAAAGCCCCATATTTCTCTTTCAAAAAATTAATGACAGTAATTTTGTACAAAAATTTATGGTCTTACTGGTTTATAATATGATCTTTATAAAGCTGGCAGTATAAAACTGYTTTTATCCAGCAATAGTGTGGGGTTCTGACCTACAGATTGGGGTAACTGATGGTTTTGGAGCAATTCTAGTCTAGTTGATCAGTTCTAGCCTGGTTTGTATTTGTTTTTGTTTCTCATAGTCCCTTTCAGTCAGTTCAGCCTGTGATAGGTCTTTCCCACTGCATGTGTTTTAACCTTCCAGACTGGGACAATGAATTGGTGTGCTACACAGAATTAAATGAGGATTTAACCTGCACCTGGCTGCCAGTACCTAACACTCCAAACACTGTTAATTATACCGTGTACTTAAAATGGTAAGTAATCTGAAAAGCAATCTCAGAAAACAAAAATCTTTTTATTGCTGTTACATGTGATTGCCATCTGCCAGAGTTTTGCTCTAGAGTATTTCATCACATTATAGGTTCTTACACAATGCCGGTCAATATCTTTCATCACTTCTCATCAATACCTATTGTGTTTGTAAGAGCTTGGTGAGAGATTGGTGGGTTGATCTTGGCTAGACACCACTAAAGCTGTTCTGTCCCTCCCCTCCTCAGCCTGACAGGGGACAGAAAATATGACAAAGGCTCAAGGGTCGAGATAAGGACAGGAAGARATCACTCAGCAATTACCGTCATGGGCAAAACAGACCTGACCCKGGAAAATTAATTTAATTTATTAACACTCAAATCAGAATAGAGAGATGAGAAATATAGCTAAAACTTGAAACCCCTTCCCCGTCCATGCTCCCCTCCCCGTGCTTTCCTTCTTACTGGGCTTAACTTTTCTCTGGAATTCCCTGCCTCCTCCACCCCAGCACTGTGGGGGCATGGGAACTGGGGGTTGTGGTCAGCCCATCTCATGTTTCCCTTCTGACTCCTCCACTGGTCCAGCATGGGGATCCTCCCACAGGAGACAGTCCTCCATGTCTCCAACATGAGTTCTTCCCCTGGAGCTGCAGTTTTTCATGAACTGCTCCAGCATAGCTCCCTTCCATGGGGTGCCAACCCTTCAAGAACAGGCTGCTCCAAAGCAGGTCYCTCACAGGGTCACAAGTCCTGTCAGGGAACAAACCTTCTCCAGCGTGGGCTCCTCCCTGCTGCTGCCACTTATTCACATTCCTCTCTGCCAGCTTTTTCCCTCCTTTCAATATATTATCCAGAGACACTGACACCATGGCCGATGGGCTCAGCTTTGGTCTGTCCTGGAGCCAGCTGGCACTGCCTTTGCTGGACATGGCGAAAGCTTTTTGCAGCTTCTCTCAGAAGCCAAATGTGTAGCACCCTGCTCCCAAAACCTTACCATGTAAACCCAATACGAACTCACTCTACATCTTACCATGCCTCCAACATTMTGCTTAAAACATTATTGCTAAGGATCAGCTAACTCAATTACCTTCATTTGCAGCTATTGACTTGCATAGAATATTCAACACTGATGCATTCAAAGTTAAAAAAAATTAAAACAAAACACCCAAAATAAACAGACACTGGGCTTTTATTTTATGTATTATGTATTCTGCTATAGTAGGTATCCACTGATACATAGACGCTATAGATGTGGTAGACTTCAGATAATTCTGAATTGTCAGGTGCTGGTTTAGCAGATGGAATGAACTTGTAGGGTTAATCTTGAACTGACTACCTTATAATACAGTATCTTCAACTGCAGCACAATTACAAAATYAGATTTCCTCATTTTATATCTAGATATTTGGAATCTCCCATGAGATGTTCAGTAATAGAGACATGAGATCAGAAGACATGATCTGTGCCATGGGACTTTATCGTGGGGTTCACACGGTACAACACTGTATGCCRTTGGTATCTTCTGATATCATTGCTGATTATTTTGCTGCGTAGCCACCCCTCGTCTTCAAAAATGAGCTGTGGTTAGGAGCATCTCCTAAAGCTAAGAAAATGTCATATACTGAGAAATCCCCCAGGCTGATCATTTTCACATTGCAGAGGAGTAAAGCAACCACCTCAAGGCTGAGGTTACTCCCCCGATCACCTGCAGTATTTTCTCTCTGGAGGTAGCAGCAGGTGCCAACTTGCAATAAGCACCAAATCCCACTATATTTGCAGTCTTGCYTCTTGGGACTTTAAGGAGTCCTGTTTTATTAGAAGGACAGAAACATCTGTGAAACAGCTCTGTTTCTGCAGAGATGTTATCAGCTGAAATCTTCGTAAGCCAGTTGTTCTTGAAGTACAAAGTCAAAACCAGACTGTGCTGCTCCCAGGCTGCAGGGTTGATGTCATGATCAGACAAGGCAGAAAAAAAAAAATGAAAGAGGAGGTCAGTGGGGGAAGAGGGAGATAATTCCCTGGTAGAGATGTTGATTTTTCCAARTCAGAGTCAGGATTCTAATCTCAGTCTCCTAGGCTTCCAACCAGTGGTGTTGAAGGAAAACATCCTATCTCATCTATTGGATTTAAAGAGAAAAAAACCCCACATGTGAAAGGGCTTTTAGCTTGCCTTGAAGAGGGCATCACCCCTTCMTGCATGTAACACCAGTTTGACACTGTAATTGTTCCTTGTCTTTGCTCCTTATGATTTAGTTGTCAGGAAGAAAAATATCAAAGACAAACACTCCCACAGAAAGGTTCCAACCAAGAAATCAAAATCACGCTTTGAAATACTAATGGCTGATTCACAGCTAATCTGATGCAGAAGACAGGAAAACCTTCAAGTAGCTCTTTTCAGTTATTAAATATTGAATCCTGATGTGTGTAATTTAATATCTGGAATGCATAGCTAGGCAATTAGCATGCTAGCCTATTTCTTTAAGAACATTGCGCAATTTWAACCTTGGAAAAAATCTGTCCTGTGTGTGGCTGAGGCTAAACGAGAGAGATGGGAAAATAGGTAGGCAGCAGACTTGTATGTAACACATTAAAACTCGTGGACTTCCTGTGCTGTGTGCATTAGGTATACCAGGAGACATCGACAGGGCTGAGGACTCRGGTGACATTTAAATATCTCTATCAAACCCTGATGCTTTGCAGGAACAGAACTCAGAAGACAGGCATATAACTCATAAGAGTTTTTTCATAACTTTGTGCTAATTTAGATTCATGTAACTGAGAAATTTTGCTGTACAAAGGGAATTTGGGTGCCCCTGTGATAGACGGCAAGGCTTTATGAAGTAATTTCTAACCTAATTTTATACCTTCAAAATGCTCTATGTATCCCACTGTAAGTACCAAAGGTCATATGGATTGTGTCTCATGCTGTGCCTTATAAATTTAAGGGATTCATCACTTCTCCACCRCACAACACAAGGATTTGCATGTTTAAATTTGCTAGAGTAAGTGGAGTACTGGAATTAATCTTGCTGTTTCAAGCTGCTCAAGGTTCACCTTCAAGATTTTCAGATGAGTAATTATGTGTAGAAGTATTTGGAAAGCTATCAGTCGCTATAACGTTGCATTCTTGGGCAGGGGAGGAAAGGACAACTATAACCCAATAAAAGGCCTTTCCTTCTGCTACTTTTTCTTTCAAGGAACAAAATACGAAAAGTTTTTCGACGAAACACATCATTGCCTTCCATCACAATAGAACGAAAGAATCTCTACATTGAGCGATTTGCATCTGTCTGGATAGCAGTGAATTATGCTCATGACACCTGTGCAAAAGGAAAGAACATCTCAGTGCTACCAAGCAAAGCAGGTACAGCACCTTCACAAGTTTGTTACTGCTGGGCCCAGYTAAAGCTGTAGTCTTTAAAGATTATTGCCAAAATTTCAGCTCCCAAAATGCTCTTGTTACCTTTACTGATTCAGAGAGCTAAGATGCAGTTTGATTTCCTTGAATGAAGTTAATAACAGATGTCTATCAGCTTTTACAGTACGAGGGTTTTACTTTGAATATTTTGCTGGAATATAAAATAGTCATATSCAGAAAAGTACATAGTAATATTTGTGTACAGTACTTAATCAGATTTGTGTGCTCTCTTTGAYGGTTTTCTGAATTTCTTTATATTGGTTTATATACAAAGAGCAGACTGCCTCATCACTCTGCACCTAAGGAATCTTTGATCTAGGGCATTAAAATTTGAGAAACCTTTTCAAAATTCAACTGTTTTCTAAGGCTACTTGCCTATTACACAGTGCTACAGGGAAGAAATGGAAAAYGCCCTATTTAGTAAATAGCCCTATTTACTATGCCCTTTAGATGTTTATTTAAAGATTCCCTAYCCTAACTGGTCACTGAAATAATGTTAAGAGCTTCCCAAACCTTCACCTGCTCAGACTAATCCTAGTCAAAGAAAAACCAATGTTTCTCACTGCTGGAGGTTACTACTAGCTCCAACCAAATTATCACTATGACTTTTACTAGAGACTTTTGGCCACCTTGTGTTTATTTGAAGGAAAGGTAAAATTATATTTTCACTTACTGAAATACAAAGATATTCTGGATATTTTTTATATAATTCATGGCTACAAGTACTCTTGACATTTTGATTTTGCCTTTCAGCCACAGTCAAAATAGTAACTGCTTAGAAAAAGAGTCTTCCTGAAATCTACAGAAATATTTACAAAAGAAAGGCAAGAGGAACAACTGTATTTCATTGATACCATAAAGATTTAGCATTTATTCATTTGCAGTGTTTTTTTGAAGTCTGTGCCAAGTCTTTTAACTTTTATAGACCACACCTGACAGACATAATTACCAAAGCTTTCCTGCTTCTCTTGCACTTTTAACAGCTGCATATCCCCCATTTTAGGAAAATGCTTGTCACCATCTAACATAAATGCTTATCAGATCACAAATCAATTGATAATAAAGTGGGACYTGCCTTCGACTCCTACAGCGTATGAGCTGAGATACAGAGAGGYACTCACAGAATCCACTCTGTGGACACTGGTAAGTACTTCCAGACAGCAATCATATGAGCACAAAAGGTGCCTTGGTGTCAGCTTAGCTACACGAAACACATGCAGCACAAGGGTAGCAAGGAGGCACAGCAAGGAGTCAGTTTGTAGGCAGATTCCACTGGTTCTAACAAATCATTAAATTTTTGGGAAAGAAGGAATAATAGTTTTAAACAGAGTAAAACAGAACAGCGTGTCAGCTGGTTTATTAATGTACCAATGAGACACTCCAACAACCAGTAATGCAAAAGCTGCATTTCAGAAATGCCATGTAAACTCAGATCCAAATCACACTTTMAGTGATTTACAGTATTACTCTTTTTGCTGGTAACATTACATTTTCAAACAGATTTGAGATAAGTTTGCTACGTTTCTTAAAGCAACTATTCATATCTTACACACTTTTGGTTTGCGTCAGTATTCCAGATTTCTCTGTTTGAAAAGAAGGGAAATAATTTCTCTGCAATATGGTCAGAGACTCATAGAATGGTTTGGGTTGGAAGGGACCTTGAGAATCGTCTTTCATGGAAGCTCCCTTCATACTGGAAGGCCACAATTACAACTCCCCAAAACCTTCTCTTTCCCAGACTGAATAATMCAAATTCTCTCAGCCTTTCCTCACAGGAGGGGTACTCCACCCCACTGATCAATTTGGTGAGCCTCCTATAGACTCATTTCAAGAGGTCCATGTCCTTCCTGTGCCAGGGATCCTGCCCCTGAAAACTGGGAAATGAACTCTCCATTGAATCTGTTAGGTTACAAAGCCAGCATTGCTGTTTTGAATGCATAGGTTACTCTCCTCAAAGCATGCATGCTCAGTAACCTGAGAGACCAGGTTATATTCCTGAAACCAATATATTTTCATCATATTTCTGAATATGTGCATACATGCTAATTATTTCCACTTGATTGGATATGGTTCCAGMTCATCTGATGAATTTTTTCTCCTTGGTAGTATCTCAAATATGTCATCGGGTCATAATGTACTTCTTTTATCATTCTTTGCTTTGACATACAATCCTTGTTCTCAAAACTAAGATATCAGTTAGTACATATTAATCACTCCTGGAAATAAACAAGGAAGCATTAGCTGGAACAATTTTATTAGTCACAGCTGTAGGGAGTTAACACAAGGCCACATTAATCTCTGGTATTTATACTAAGCACTGTATGTACAAAATTAAGCACCTACAACAAACACCGGGGTCATACTTATTATGCTGTTTAAAGGAATTTTCCAGCATTTTCCTCCACTGCTGAATAGATGTCTTCTTACAGGACTGTTCAGTAACAAACCCAGAGCAGGATGCAGCCCTGCAGGTGGGGTCTGAGCAGAGCAGAGCAGAGGGGCACAATCCCCTCCCTGGCCCTGCTGCCCACGCTGCTCTGGATGCAGCCCAGGACACGTTTGGCTCTCTGGGCTGGGAGTGCTCATGGCTGGGTCAYGTCCAGCCTCTCACCCAACCAYACCCCAGGTCCTTCTCAGCAGGGCTGCTSTGATCTGTTCATCCCCAGCCTCTGKTGATACCARGGTTGTTCTGACCCAGGTGCAGCACTTTGCACTTGGCTTGTTAAACCGCATGAGATTCCCATGGTCCCACTTCTGGAGCCTGTCCAGGTCCCTGTRGATGGCATCCCATCCTTGGGGAGTGCAGCAGCACCACTCACCTTGGGGTCATCCACAGATTTTCTGAGGGACACTTGACACCCCTATGTCATTAACATGGCACATGGAAGGGCAGAGGGCTGGGAGCAGTTCAAACCCGTGCCCTGCAGGTCCTGGAGACGGGACAGGGAAGATTCTCACGACTACTGTGAAGGACTGGTAGAGACAGCCACACTGGGTGATGGCAATGACTGAAGTATACAGCTCATAAATATTCATTTTCTCCCAGATCCCAGCTGATCCTATGAATTTAGGCCATAATCTCTTCCTAATCACGTGAATGTAGGCTACACTTACAGATGARTGAGTGAGTATGTGTATACATGCACAGATGATGTATAAAGTTACTCTTTATCAAGAATAGGATTAACATACCTTTAATGTAATTTAACATTTGGATTTAAAATCCATTCCACTTCCCTCTTGTTCTGTAGGGATTTGGAGTCTTTCTGTGATACTGTGTGCAGTGGGATTTTTTTGCAATCAAGCATTTTGTATTGGCAAAATTATCTGAAGTTGTCATGGACAGAGTATGACAGGGGTATTAATACCCTTCACTGACAAGAAAGAGGTAGCAATATGTTTATTGATAGAAAACAGAAATCCAGCAAAGTTTGATAGTAAATGTGACAGGAGTTTAACAAGAGTAGATGGCAAGTAGCACTCTATTACTTTACAGAGAATAAAGTCAGACAGAACTGCTAAGGAGACCTTTCAACGGGGTCATGACACTTAGAAATTCTCCCCTTGCATTCCAAAATCCTTCTTAAAGCCCCTGTGAGTCTAGTTACTTTTGGATCCAGACTTAATCCCAGATCTGGTCAAAAGTTTATGTCGCAAGGATATATGTGTACAGTGAGTACAATCAATCCTTTGTATCACTTAGATGAAGTTTAAACATTTCGGTGCATTAATTTCCAATTCACTTATTGAGTGTCTGATGAGATGAATATTCTCTCAGCTTTGAGAAGTAACTTTAAGGTGTGTCTCTACTCAAGATATCCTGTTGTGTGACCCACTGCTGTGCAGGAGAGCTCAACAGGCTGTGGGCTCTCCACTATTTAATCAGTAAGATGAGCCACTTACGGCCATATATGCATGCYCACTTCACATATTAGTTTCTTCCACAGGTGATTTGAGTCAAGCCTTCACCAGTGCTTTGGTTAGGTTGGATGGATTGCTCAAATTAGCCCTTGTCTTTTGTGTTGTTCTGTGTCTGCTCCAAATCAGCTTTGAGCTGGATGCTGGTCCAGACACATCTGTTATGACTGCTGATATTGGTTGTCACTTGAGCAGAATTACAGGAAACAGAACTCAAGATGGAGAAGAAGTGGAAGGGAGGGAGGTGAGCACACTGCCACAGAAGTTAATTAATAATTAATTAACTTCAATAAATGAATAACATACAGCAGAAATTAAAAAAAAAAAAAAAAACCACCAAAAAAACAGCCCATCACCTTACAGTGGGGCTTTGCTGTTTTTATTTTTTTTAAGGAAAGAGTTTAAGCAATAACAACTATTTCTATTATATTTTCTCCTACATTTTTCAAGTCAGAGTTTTCCTTAGTAATGGGTGGTGTCTTTGTTTCAAGAAAAACTCCACTCCTATATAGTTACTGGGGCTCCAGTGCAGTCATCAGCTGCAGATGTACATCACAAGGCACAGGCAGCCACACTTTGAGTCCAGCCATGCTCTTCAAGACATCTGTCATGTGCATCTATTTACGCGTAATGATGTCCTTAAAAATAAGGACATTTTTCAAAATGCTTAATTTTCCCTTGAATTCTTGTTCTTCAGAATGTCAACAAGGCTCAGAATTAACTATTTTTTTAAAAAATTTTCAGTATGTATAATGTCTATATATAATTATATTATATACAATTGATTTTAAAAGCAATATTTAGACCCAAGTGGTTACTTACTGTCCTGAGAACAAGTTCATGAAAAAGAGGGTGTTGCCRCGAAAGAATGAAAATACCTTGACTAAATGTCATCCTATTTGATGACAGAAGCCTCTACTTTCAGCTAAGTCAGAAGACTGGTCTTAGGCTGAGAAAACTATTAATATAGGTTATGTTTTATTGCTGCTACATAAATGAAACTTTTTTTTAGATGCCTGTTCAAAGCAATGCTGTCAATATCACCATTTCAAATATAAATGCTACGTCTTCCTACATTGTTCAGCTCAGATGCATAACCAAGGATGATCTCAACTGTGTTTGCGTTTGGAGCAAAGAAATTTTGGTCCCTCACAGTAAGTGAAATGTAGTTTCATGCTACTGGTAGTAAGTATGAATGTAAAGGCCTTTCTAAACTTTGTGTCATATGGAATAGCATTTTTAGATACTGCTGAAAATATGAGCATCACAATTCTTTATTTGAGTGCATGTTTCCATCTTTTTCCATGTTTACCAGAACTCATCAGCAAGCCAAGAATATCATATAATGTAACTACTCAAGCCTCTCCAGGAAGGAGGACTGTTCTTCTGARGTGGGAGGTAATGTTCTCTTCCAATCTGGGTACCTCCCGTCATGTATATGCTATTTCTTTTTTACATTGCAGGAAAAAAACAGACTTTCTCACTGTATTGAGACTACATTTTTATATGCTAAAGGTATTGGATATGGTCCAGTTGCTGCCGAATTCGTTGCATCTATATGCTGGTGATCTAGGTGTTAGCAACTAACAAGGAAAAACTACGTGAATTTAGAATCTTGAAAAATTACTAAAACTTCCCTTCTTTCCCAGGGAAAAAACATGTTTTAATTTTAAGAGCTGCCAGCTTTATCTGAAATTCCTCACAAGACATGTGTCTCTGCCTTTTTAATTATTAAATGTCTTCCTGTCTACATTACTCCAAAAGTATCCAATTATTTCATTAAGATAACCCAGCCTCACAGCTTCATGGTATCTACACACTATTAATTTTGTGCCAGAAATAACAGACAATCTTGATATCAGAAATAATCCTTTAAGAATTCATAGGCGTTCATGTATTAAGTTTCTGTCTATATTGCATTAATTTCCCCTTCTGTGCACTCATTTTCCAATCTCTTATTAAGATTAGTACAGTAAAATAATGAGTGAACTGCTACCACAAATTTCTACCAATGGGTTTTTAACACGTTCCAAATTTGTAGCATAATTACTATCATTTCTCTTTAAAGAGAGTAGATACCTAACCAAGCCCTAGTAGATGAAAATACCCAGAGGCATAAATTTCAATTTAACACCTCTCATTAACTTTCAAGTTCCTAATAATGACGGATATGTTCCAGTGAAATGTAGAGAACTTCACAGCTGCTTCACTGCTGTTATTACTAATTGGATACACATAACTAAGATCTCAATTAAGTAAAATTCCTAATCCTGTATTTAAATCCTCTCAATTTAAGCATGCTCTTAATTTTGAGGAAATGCTTTGCTCCATTGATTCCTAATGACCTAATTAAAACAGTATGATTTTATCCCCATCATTAGAGGTTATTTTGTTTATGCAATTAAATTCCTCATGATTTTTTTGCACGGGACATAACAGCATTTATAGGATGATAATGTTTTTCCTCTTGCTAGGTAGCACAAAGTGAGAATGTCCTTGGATATTTTGTTGATGTGGAAAGAATACCCAACAGCTGCAGCAACTCACCAAATCGCATCTCTCTCAATGACAGGAAAATTCTTGTAAATCTCTCCATGGCTTACTATAGAGTTAATATTTCTGCCTATAATGAAGTGGGAGAATCTCCACAAGCCATCTATATTGTCCCAGAATTCTCTGGAGCAGGTATTTACCTTATCATTCTTTCACTTGAGTGGATGACCTGTCTCTAAGGCTACCTGTTGACACACTATGGTAAAAGCATACTCTTGAGTGTTTATTAGGCAGATATTTYTACATACTGGGAGTCAGAATTATTTCTGAAGAAGATACTATGGTAGAAGTCAACAGACCAGCAACTGAATATACAGTTTAGCAGTTCTTGTTTTCTCAAGCTAGAGATAGTACCATGTGCTGGATCTGCTTAGGAAAGTGGTTTATGGACTGTCCTCAACATCAAGTAGTTACCAGTGGTTTAAAAAAGTTCACAGAACTATTCAGCTAAGTAACTATTAAGAGACCTGCTGCCGTTCTTTATTTCAGTATTACTCTAACATAGAAGGAACAGATAAGATATGCATGTCACATTCTAAGGTTATCTTTTGTGATGCCTAATTACACAGTCTTTTCATTAAAAAATAAAACTAATATAGTTTTTCTTATAATATAAACTATTTTCATTTGTTATAGTCCTGAAATATGTATGTTGCAATATAAGAATGTCGCTTAAAAAGTAAGATTTTTTAAAATTAAGCAACAGCATTCAGTGCAAATACCCTTGTTGATGTTCAGACACCTGCAARTGATTGCTTATCCAGAATTTTCTAAGGCTCCTCTCATTCTGTTCTCCCTTGCCTTGCAAAGAGGTAACAACTTCACTTTGCCCATACATTTCAGTCCCTTAGCTCTCTTCCAATGAAATATAGTCTACCACTTCAAACAACCATTTGACTGACAAATTCATTGCCTACCGAACCTCTCTCTGAGCCTGTATTTCATGGCTCTCTCCAGACACCTGTTTCCACCCGACTGTCCTTCAGTGCAGCTTCTCTGTATCAATCATGAATTACTGACAAGACCCTTGCATTAAAAGTGCCATCTCAAGATAAATTCCTTCTCAGTATACAAAACTTCTCCTCAGCCAGAGCATTCCATTTTCTTTATGGAATCACGGAATCAACTAGTTTGGGAAAGACCTCTAAGATCAAGTCCAACCTATCAACTAATACCACCTTATCRACTAAACCATGGCACTAAAGTGACACTTCCAGTCTTTTCCRAAACATCTCCAGGGACGGTGACTCCATCACCTCCCTGGACAGCCCATTCCAATGCCYGACCACTCTTTCTGTGAAGAAATTCTTCCTGATGTTGAGCCTAAAGCTCCCCTGGCACAGTTTGTGTCTCTTGTCCTATTGCTGGTTGCCTGGGAGAACAGACCAACCTCCACCTGGTTACACCCTCCGTTCAGGCACTTGTAGAGAGCGATAAGGTCTCCTCTTCTCCTGGTGAAACAACCTCAGCCCTGTCAGACAACCCCAGCTCCTTCAGACAACCACAGGACCCTCAGAAGTAATGTGTCTTTCTTGTATTGTTTTGCAGACAGGAGATAAGATGGAGAACATTTATGTCTGACACAAGGTCCATTTCTTACCTCAAAATGACAGGTTGTTCTTCTCCCTCCTTARTGTCAGTCAGAAAGTCTTTCCTAGTTTGATAGTCTGTCTTTTAAATTGTCAAAATCTTCAAGATCCTTTCAGAAAATGCAAAATATTTTAAATATGGAATTACCTAGGTATGATCCATCATTAGCCCCTTCTTRTCCTCCCCTGGCCAGGCAAGCACTGTGTCACAGTTGCTATATGTAGCAGTCACTGGTGGCTCACAGGGGGCTATGTAGCAACACCAGAGTCCTCCTTTCTGAGGCTTGGARCAACCATTTAATCAGAAATAAGGAAAAGTCATGAACAGCAATCAACTTTGTARCCCCCAGAACAATTGCAAAGTAGTAAATGCTAAGTTTTCTATATTGAAATGCAAGTATATACCTTACTATGATGAATAAGTCAATCCCATTGAAAATTATTTAATGAATAATCTCCAAAAAYAGAGCAAAAGGAAGAACAATGGGGAAGAAAACTGCTTTCCTGTTTATTGACCTTTAATTGTGTATTTGTTCACAGACTTACCTGGTCAAATCCATGTCAAAAGCCATGGAAGTATTGCAGTTGTCACGTGGACTCCAGAATACAATCCAAAATGTTTTGTGGTTGACTGGGGCAGCGGGAAAGAGGATATGCACATGAAAATAATAACTACGACTACTGGAAATTTCACATTAGGTAACAGCAACCATCACACCTCTTATGGAGGCAACCTTTCATTTCTTGGTTATTTTCGGCTGGGTAGAGTAGGATTTTTGCTGAAAATCCATCTAGATAAGAGCATCTCTTAATATTTGTCAAATACTACGTCATCATCTAATGCTTAGTAACATTAAGGCAGACAAAAAGCAGATTTCTCATTAGGATTCTTCTGGATAATGTTGGTCAAGACATGCAGCTAAGCTACTGGTAAATTCCAAGCAGACTCATACATTACTGGCTTTTAAAAAACACAAACTATTATCTTGTACCTAGATAAGCTTATCTTTCAATATAAACTGCTCTGTTTTAGACTCCCTAAGATTAATTTTCTATTTTTTATCCCCATCCCTATACTAGTCAAAGCCTAATTTCTCCACTCCAGGGTTCTGCTTACAAGCTAGTCWTGGTGGGCTTCCATCAGGGATTGCTTTATTGAACAGACATTGAAAATCTTAAAGTCATGTAGATGTCTCTTGCAAAGACCATTCAGGAGTGGCTTTTATGTATAATAGAGAACATTTAGCCTCAGAGGTCTACAGAGTCTCCTAGAGAGCTTACTGTTAACCTTGGTCCTTCTGCAACATCTGGAGTGCCRTATTACATCTAGGTTTTTTGCTTGGGTTTATTGGGTTTTCCCACTCTAGATGAGTGGGAAATTCCTATCCCTGAAATAAGGTAACTACAGCCTTTTTATTTCCCAATTTCTCCTTCAGCATCTAAAACCTCCCATACGGAGACTATAAACTATAAAGTTTGTCATCTTTTAAAGAAAATTCATGTTATGTGCTGTTCTGGTTTCAAAATAGTTTGCATTAAGCATCTAGAGACATTGAAGAAGGATGTATGTGTTTTATACTCAGTGTAAAGCACCATGCACTTACACTATGCTTTGAGTCTTAGAATGCAAGARCTGTACAAAAACGCTATGAAGTTGTTGTCTTTCCTCTCCTTCTTCATAACTTTTCAGTAAAGCCTGGCATACCTTTATTTGTTTTCCAGACAATTTTCAGCCATATAAGTTGTACAAAATAATGGTACACGCATCTGATATGTGTCAGTGTGAAAGTTTCATAAGACACGAAAAGACTTTTGGAGTGACCCACTTTTACTCCGTTGAAGGAGGTATTCCTCCCCTTTGTATRATCTCACCCTTTATATTTCTTCTTGTTTCCTATCTGCAGCAAWAAAAGAAAGGCTACACAAGATTTCTTTTCCAGGTGACTGAACAGCATTCTCCAGTTAGCATTGCCTTTGGTCTTAGTGGTTATGTCCTGGCAGTGAATGACCTGAATTTTGCTCCTTACTGACAAGTCCACAGGACTATTTTTATTACATGTGACATTACCAAAAATRACAGAAAGAGTGTCTCAGGCCCATGTGGCTCAAATTTAACTGTGGTCAGATTTTCCAGTCTCAATTTCATAGTGTTGTTTATAGTTTCATWGTTTATATACTGCAAGCTGAAAGAGTATGGCTGTTACTATTGGAGTAAAATATTCATAATGAGACAGTCACAATTTCTTCATACTTTGGCATTGTTTAAGGTGAGAGGGTTTTGCTCTATTAATCTCTCCTTTATTTTTCACCCTTTACATTGTGTTTATGGCAGCTAGAATCTGACAAGGAACCCTCTTGGAAGCAGCTAGTTTCAATCTTGTACATCTATGTCACAAGCATTAATGCAGAACTCAAATATCGAGGTTTCTTTAAGTTCCTAGGACAGGTCCTGCTAATGTGACAATTCTGAATATTACAAAGCATTCTGCACTTGTGAAGTGGACTGAAATAGCTGCAGAAGACCGTTTGGGCTTTCTCCAAGGATACAGGGTCAGTTACACAGATTCATCAAGGAAAAGGTCTCCAGGTAAGTCACCTCTGCCAGAACAAAGCAGCAGCTCAGAGCCATGAAAGAAAAGCTTCATTCAGACCACTAAGTGCACCCTACTGAGTTATTTATGATTTCTGTGTAAATTGAGTGCTCTGCTCTCAAAGGTCAGCTTCTGGTTACACTATTAATGCTGTAGATGCTCCCATCAACACTTAGAATTTTCTAGATATAATCTCAAATTAAATATTGCYCTTTCCTTAAAAATTACATTTCTAAGACTCCAGAATAATTCTCTGGTGACATTTAAGGAAGACATACACTTGCAGTGTTTCTGAATTATGAAGATTTCAAGCACAGCACTTTTATGTTTCATTGCAACTCATCCCATCTTGAGTCTGAGCCTTTCCATAGGACTTCATACATTGTGTATTTCATTTTTCAACTCAATTAGCAGTTTGCATGTCTTACCTGTGTTTACAAAGGTTTACCATTATAAATTTACTTTTGGAAACATTTTCTTAAATTATTTATGTCTATTTTTGCACTTGATGACCTTAAAAGTATTTTCCAACCTTAACAAACTACAAATTATGAAAATTCTACATGCATTGGAATAAATGATTGRTTGTGAATTGAAATCATTCGAGTTTTCACTTTTAAAAAAATCCCCATACTTCTTCTGATAAACATTTTCTTTCTGGTCTGTACTGGCAAGTCTCATTGCTATAGGTAATAATAGATTAACTTTGTACATACTGACTTCCAAATAAAATTGAAGGGAAGGCAAATAGCACCTAAGACATGACAAAGGGAGACAGCAAGAGTTCTATAATTCATGTTGACCCATGCCTTTACAGAACCATAAAAAARTCTTCTGGGKATTATATTCCACCTCAAACACCTAWCTGAAAGAGGAGGCAGAATAGGAGCCTCCAGGACTGAAATTAATTTCTCTTTTTTTTCCTCTATCTTAACCAGTCAATACAGCAGTGACATGACAGCCAGTTGCCCTGTTTTCCAGGCAGAAAGTAWAACTTCATTGGAGAATTTGGGGGAAGGAAGTCCTTGGGCTACAGCACCACATCCACTTTTGTGAAGATCTTAAAATCACAGTGGCAAACATAAATCCACAATGGCAAACTTGAAAAGAAATTTCTGCCCCGTTAAAGGCAGCCTTACAACATTGTTGCTTGTACATTATTCTGGCCTAGGGAAGAGTCACTGCACCATCAGAAAAGAAAGGGTKAGGTGAAAGCTCCACAAAGCAGTAAAGCAGAATGCACAGCCCTGTTTCTGTACTGAGCAATCACTAACAGCACTGGCCTAAACCAAGCTGAACAGCTGCTGGAGGGAGAGTAAAGCATGTGATAAGGACTACTCCTAATGTTAACTGCTGCACTCAACATAAAAACAATCCTTCAGCATGTTAGATAAATTCTCCTCACAGCCTTCTCCTCACACGGTCTTCTGTATTCATCACTTGTGATCCTTTGACCCCACTTGGATACCAGAGCCACTGGATCCCCTCTGCAAGTGGACAGGGGAGAGAAAGTATAACAAAATTTTCACAGGTTGAGATAAGGACTAGGAGAGATCGCAGAGTACCATATGGACAAAATAGACTTGATTTGGGGAAATTGATTTAATTTATTGCCAATGAACTTCAGACCAGAATAATGACAAGTAAAACAAATCTTTAAAACATCTTTCTCCACCACTCCCTCCTTCCCAGGTCCTCTCTCTTCCACACCAGCAGCACAGGGAGACACAGACTGGGTGTTATGGTCAGTCCATCACAGATTGTTTCCGCCACTGCCCAGGGAGAAGAGTTCAGCCCCTGCTCCTGTGTGGGGTCCCTGCCATGGGAGAGAGCTCTCCMTGAACTGCTCCAGCATTCACAGTGTTCGCTTCCTACAGAGCGCAGTCCTTCAGTCCCAGYCTGCTCCAGCCTGGATCTCCCACAGGGTCACAAGTCCTACCAKGAAACCTGCTCTGGTGTGGGTTCCTCTCTCCATGGTCTGCAGCTCCCTGCCAGGASRCTGCTCCAGCACAGGCCTCCCACAGGGTCASAGCCCCCACTCAGCATCCCCCTGTTCCAGTGTGGGTTCCTCACRGGCTGCAGGTGGATCTCTGGATCTCCAGGGACCTCCATGGGCTCAGGGGCACAGCTGCCTCACCATGGGCTGCMCCACGGGCTGCAGGGCAACCTCAGCTCTGGTGCCTGGAGCACCTCCTGTCCSTCCTTCTGCACTGACCTTGGTGTCTGCAGGGCTGTTCCTCACATATTCTCACTCTGCTCTTCTCTGGCTGTGATTACATTTGCACAGTAACTTTTTATCTTTCTTTAACCTGTTATCACAGAGCTGTTGTCACCATTTCTAATTGTCTCAGCCTTGGCCAGGGGCAYGTCCGTCCTGGGGCTGGCTGGGATTGGATCTGTGCACCAWGGGAAGCTTCTGGCAGCTTCTGACAGAAGCCACCACTGTAGACTCCCCACATCCCCCTGTACCAAAACTTAGCCATGCAAGCCAAATACAGCCTCCATGTATTGAAAACTCATGCCTTTTACCTCTGGGTTTAAAATGTACATAAATACTTTGGAGAAATCTTTTACCCATCCAAAGAACATCTGCACAGGGTGGCTTCCTCCAGATGAGAACTAGCMCTCTGAAGTTTTGCCTTTTCCCCAGTCAGATACATTGGTACATGCTCAGCTATCAGAGTTCATCTAACAGTGTCCTCCCCAAAACCCTCTTGCATTTCAGCTGTTACTCTCAACTCTTCTGCCACAAGTTACCTTCTTACCAGCCTGAAGGAAAAGACCACCTACCATGTGCAGATTTCAGGATTCACGAATGCTGGAGAAGGACCTGTGACTCTTTCACAACCTTTCAGGACTCCAAAATATGGTACAGTGGAACCTCTATGCATCTGCACTAGCCAGCATGAATCCTTGCTTTATGCTCTCTCTATGCTCACTCACAAGATTTATTATTCAAGTCTCAGTTACTGAGAGCAAATAACACAAAAAATTGTTCTTCTGTAAGAGGTGAGCTATGTATCACAAAACAACTCTGCCTGTATTTCATTACCTAGCATATAGGGAAGACTTAGCTGGGGTTCTTCATCTCTGAAACCTTTTCTGACATTTTTGTGCCATTTATGTATACGTATCTTTATTTATTGACAATTACTGTCAGATTTCAGCAGTTTAAATAATTTATGCCTATGAGTAGTAAAGTTCAATCATCTCTTCACAAAATCCTGAGCAATCACATGAAACTGGCTTCCTGMGCCATTAACTGTAAAAATAAAAACAAAAATTATATACCTCTCAATTGCTCTGGTTGTGGGTGAAAACTGACCAAAGTATCTTTTTCTTTCTGGTCATTTGAGTACCTTTTTAGTAACAGGTCCTTCAGCTCACTGGCAAAAGTTTGTTTTTCTCAAAGGTGCCTGGATAGGCTAGGAAGACCAATACAGTCACATTTAAAAAGCTGAGAAAACTAAAAATCAGATAAGGTTAGCTAAACTTAGTCTTTCAAATCTTTTTAATACTTGATCAGTTAAACAAAAACTAACACTGCAACAGACTTCCTTTGCTTGACCACAGCTTCCCTTGATGAACCTTTCTAATTAGAAATAGAATGTGCTAAGATGTTATCAGTGACCTGTGAAATTCAGAGACAGAAGTATGAAAATGGTTTCTTCCCACAACAACTTTTTTACATTAAGTGAAGGAGGTATGAAATCAAACAACTGAAGTGTTAAAAGTGGGGAGCAGAAAGAAAAAGMGAAGGAATTTTAAATCTTCCTGAAAATCAACAGGATCCCCTCCTCCTCCCACTGAAAATTTTCTYCTGTCAACACAAAATAATAAAGTATCTCTCTGGAGCTTTTCTTCAGGACTCTACTCCACTTATCCTACCAAATATGTGTTTGGAGATGAACCAATTGCTAAGTAAAGTAACAAAAATGCAGGGTGAAGTTATTACAATGTTTTAAAAATTAAATTAMTTACACTGGATTTAAACATTACATTTACTATTTTTGCTCCCCTCCAATGTTTCACATGTTAATTAATCCATTAGTAGAATCTCAGCTTGCTTTGCTATAAAAGACTTATTCAGCAACAAAGCAAACTGCAGCTTTCCAAATTACTTTTTAACATAGGTAGCTGCTGAGTTTA